AGTTCTTTGGTTTTCTTGTCTGTCTCCCACTTACTTTGCTCTTCATAGAGAGGTACAATGCTCTCCCTTTCACACCATAATTTACACCCATTTTACATTTTTTTTTCCTCTTATCACCAATAACAACCCCTTTGTCTTTTCCATTGGGTCTCTCCATAAAGAACCCTTTCTTCCTCTGCCTCTGTCAAAATTATAAAGAAAACATTTTCCAGCGCCTTTCCGCTCTGAAAAAAATCAAACGGGCTTCAAAGTATTGACTGCTTCTCTCTCCATAGATGAAGCCAGATCTGCTGGGTTTCCTCCAGTATTCTGTCTGTTCCCGAAGTACTTCATACAGTTTTGGTCTCCTTTCTAAGGAGTAGCATTTCAGGGATGTTTTATTAGCTGATTCCTGGAACAAAGAAAGGTTGGTCTGGATGGGCCTGCAGTAATTAGAGTTTAGAAGGAAAGGAGGCAATCTTATTTAAACATAACATTCCAAGGGGTTTTTGACAGGCTAGCTCCCAAGAGGATGTTTCCCTTTGTGGAGAAATCAAAACCTAGTGGACTGATTTCAAATTAAGGGTTGCCCATTTAAGATAGCGATGAGTAAAAATTTCTTCTTTCAGTTGGGGGGAGAAAGAACAGTGTATCATTTAATCATTGAAAATATTGAAATCTGAGTTGATTTCAATTGGATCACATCCTGCTTGGAGGGGGAAGAGAAGCTACTCAGCTCAAGCTTTGCCTTTCTGAGAAACCTTGGATCAGTATGACAACAGAGGTGCTGATCCAGCTGTTCTCCTAAAAAGCGCCATAGAGCACCTGTCTATAATTTCTAAGCAAACCACATCGCCCCATGATGGCTGCCTGTCTTTGGTGACACCAGTCTACACTACATTTATTAGAGCACTGACTGAAAACCACACAACTTTTCATATTTTATTTTTTTTACCCCTTTGGAACTAACCATTGGTCAAAGAATGTTTTTACCTCTCAAAGTCAATCTCTGCATGGAAAATCATTAACTTGACTCTGCCTTGTGCGTTGTGTTATTTAGAGGGGCTAATATTGATATCCCAAAAAAAAATACTGACACTTAACGCATTAACCAGCTTTGCATCTTGCTAAAGTCTTGTTTTATAATTAATAAACAGCAAAACTGCTGACTTAAGAACCTCATTGATGGATCTTTCCATTTTAATTTACATATAGTATTGGCACACAATTAGGCATTTAGGTAACTAGATAAATCAGTTAAGTATACGCTGTGACCCATGAAGTAGTGGGACGAGAGAGCCAATGCCTTCCCAATATCAATTTAGGTTTATTCACAAATGAAGTATTACAAATACATAGCTTCCAGTTTTTGCCAATGTCATTAAGCATCTCTACACATGAAGCAAACACAGGATGAATCCCAGCACAGACATGCAAATCCTTCACCTTAATTGAAAGGATCATCACCCTCCACAGTTTATCATAAAATCTGTGGGAATTTCAACTTCCATGGCTCTAAATCTCTATTTCAAACACTTTAAAAATTGCTTTAAAATGCAACTACTCCTTTCAAACTGTGATGCTGAAATCTGATGAACAGACCTGACCGTGAACCAATAATTCTAAGTGTGAAATGGTGTTAAACTAAGATTTAAGCGAAAATGTTCTTAATCTTAAAAGGTTCCGAACATTTTAGCTTCTACCTTATCACATGCCCTAAAAGTTTAATTCAGCACATAAAGATCTTTGTTAGAAGTGATTTTATGCCACTGTCTTTTGTTTCATGTTTCTAACTGAACATCCTTTAATGTGACTGACTGCATAGACAACCTGATATCCTCACTGCTGCTTTATTTTTTAAATTGGCCAGTAAAACACACTGCAATCAGCAGTACCCATGCAATGAGTGAGGTGAAATTCCTGCCAGACAAATTATTTGATCTCTCAAAAATTTACTGAGGTCAGTGACAACTGCCCCTGCTTTACCACTGGCCACATTAGAACCACACCTTTCCACGTTCAGTTCAATTGCTCTAAGGCTAAAAGTGAAAAAGGCCTGACTTTGTTAAATTTATATTTAAGTGACGATTTATTTATTATTTTTATTACTACTATTTCAAGAAAAGGCACGTTTTCTATCTATTCAAAAAGGATTATTTTGGTCAAAGAAATTGAATATATTTGCATTAGTGCTACTCAGCTGCAGGTAAGTCCCATTATAGCATAATGTGCCTATCGGTTAGGGCAGGAGTGTGATATGTTGGACAAGAAATGCACATTTTTTAAAGCAGAAACCTTCAAAGGTCTTCATGGCACGAAGATTGATTTCTGCATCAAAAAAAAGGGCATAGCCGAAAATATGCCCCTGGATCTAAATGTGATAATTGTAGGACTTTTTGAACAAGGTTCCACAAAATGAATGAGGGTAAAGTCACATTTGAATGTTGAGTTTTTAAGTGAAGCATAGTCACAAAGTGCAAATTTTTAAAAATTATAAATAAGCTTACAGGGCATTCTCAAAGATTGTAAATGGTGAGACATACATTAGTTTGGGACAGTAATCATAGACAATTCACATCCACTGTTTTGGAACGTTCCTAGTCACATGTATGTAGTATGGGTAAACATAGGAAAAAAAACCTGTGGGCAACTACTGATAAAAGCTGGGACAGAAAAATATAAAATTAGTTTTTCTATTACCAAGTTACATTTGTCTTAGGAAAGCATGTAGTTCAAGAGTTAGCAATTACTTCAAATGAGGTAATTCAATGGCATGCATAATTTTCATTGTCAAAGATAAGCTGAACAGATTGGTCAGTTTCACAATGTTTATACAGCTGTTCTAAAAGTCTGTATATCATGAACCGAGAAACAGGAAGGTGCTAATTGGCCAATCAAACCTAGACGCCATTCAGTTACATGATAACTGATCATCATCATCAATGCCAATTCCACAAAACTATCTACACATCCCTTGATGTCATTAGTCCCCAGAAATCTACCAAGTTCTGGTTAAGCATATTCAAGGCTCAGATAGATTTTTAATCAATAAGGGAATCAAGGGGTGTGTGTGTGTGTGTGTGTGTGTGTGTGTGTGTGTGTGTGTGCGCCAAATGGGGTTGTAGATTATCAGATCATGACCACAAGCAGATAATTATCAATGTATCAGATCAGACCATGATCTCATCGAATGTCAGAGCAGACTTATTAAGCGGAACAGCCTACTTTTGCTCATACATCTTACCAGTATGACTAAAAGGGGGTCATGAGAGTTAACCCCCATTGGCCAAATCACTGTTCAACAAGTCTTTGTATGGATGATGATTGCCAGTTCAGGTGTCATTGGCTCAGCAATGAGGAATATTGGTGCAATTAGCATCCTTCAAGAACTTGCCCTGTCATGAGATGTAGGGGATATGTGTAAGAAACATAGAAAGCTGAAGAAATTGAGCAAATCTGACAGTATCTGTGGAGATAGAAACAGAATTAACATTTCAATTCTGGTATGATGCTACTTCAGAACCAGTTGTTAAACTGCTGAGTTTTGCCAGCACTTGATGCTTCTTACAGATATCCAGCATCTGCAGTATTTTGCTTTTGAGATTGCAAGGATATGCCTGCAATAGCAAAGATAGAAATTAAGCCTTTTCTCCTAAGTAGCATATGTTGTCCAACAGCAATGCACTGAGGATGCAGGTTTCATCGTCTCAGTTTGGGACCTCAATTATGCTGCCTTTGTTTCACATGTTTACTCAGCTTGGACATAACAGTTGCAATTTTTACCAAGTATGTTGATTTCATCAGCAAGTGAGATTGCTGTTGCTTGTGGAGCCTTGGTGAGTGAAGCTGTCAATGATTTCCAGCATCATTGTAGCAATGCTGATGGATGGCTTATAGCAACATTCTGCATTAAAATGAGCAATAATTGGGCAGGATCTACAGTAATAATGCACTCCCAGAGACAGGATGATTGTGTGGTGCTGTGGCAGTGCCCCCACCTCTGGTGCAGAAAGTCCATGTTCAAGTCCCACTTGCCGCTGCATGGTGTCATAAAATATCAGAGCAGGTTGATTAAAAATATATTTTTTGAACTACTGAGTGGGGACTCAATATATGCAAGTGTGCTGAGGAACAGATTACAATTACAATTTGATAAATTTATACTGTCAACCTTTGCAATGGAAATTGCCCAAAGAAACTTATAGCACTAACAGGAACTGAGCACAGAGCCAAGACTTTGAATATCACACATTACCCACTGTATGGCATTAACTATATTTGATTGTATTCATAAGTAAAGAAGATCTGAAAGAATTATTTGGAGTTGCAGGAACAGGATCAGCACGGAGAATTCAATGCTTGAGGAAATCCTTCAAAAGGGAGTGATATAATAGGCAAGATCATCTTACTATCTCTTAAGCCTCTTCTCCTTTCCCACAATAGATGCCATGTGGGAAGTTTCTCAACTTAGCAGTGCAAAATGTGGAGGAGAAACATTTTGAGAAAGACGAATTGTAGCTTGAATTGTATGTTAACTACCAAAAATGATTAATGTCATTCAAAATTGGTTGTTGGCTTCATTCCAAACTAACAATTAACCAAACTTTAAAATCAGTTGAAGAACATGTCTATGAATCAACCTAAATAATTTGACTTGCAATTTCTGTTGACATAGCAGGTTACATTAGTCAGTTAGTATATGCAGGCTCATCTCCATAGCTGCTGTGACGTTAATCCGTTATTTGTAGAATAAAGGGTGGCATTTGCATTCAAACTGAACTAAGTCCATGATCATCCAAGTAATCTAAATTTTCATTATTGCAGATCAGTGGCCTCTGTAAACACATTTGTAACCTTAAACAAAAAGTCCTAGAATTGTTTCAAACTCAAGCCAACAACAAACAGGACATGAATGTAACCAAAAAATACTATGCATAAAACAGAGACAGTAACACAGATGACAGGAAAATTCAACTGAACGTGGGGTTATTAAAATAAGGAGATGTGAAACAGCAACACACCTTGGCATTGATATAAGGGTCAAAAGGGCCATACTTTTTGAGGTCTTTGCTCTCAATAGCATTCTATGAGGGAAGGAAAGAAAATGCAAATGATAAAATAAGATTATATTCGAAGAAAATAAAGTTGAATGCACTATGATAAAATGCAATGACAAGTTAAAAGTTGCAGATAAATCAATAAGAACTTAAATAGCACTTAAAGCAAACTCCATTTAAAATACTTCTATTAAAAATATGAAAAATAGTTGGAACAAAAATAAAACAATACAAAACCAGGAACATATACAAGTTATCAAACTTTGTACAGTACATTTAGAAGTTTTTTCTCCACAGATTGTTCCCAGAACACTCGAGTCATCAGCAGAACTATTCCTGTTCCCATATTAAGAACAGCATTTTATTTTCAACGCTTAGGAGCAAGCCCGCTGTTCCCACTACATCAGGATAGTGATTTCTTTGAATTAAGAGTCTTAATTTTTTTTTTTAAATGAAGCAACCACAAATAAAATGGCTGTTCGGTCCCTAAGTTACATCCCCAAGATGAAAAAAAACGCAGCTTGTTTTTCCTCAACCAATATTAAAACACAGAAGACCACATTCTCAACTGAAAGAAAAGGGCTTGCAAGTTTACCATAGCTAAAAGGATTCAGAAGCTGCTAAATAAACAATTTTTCAAAAATAAATTGAGTAGACTTCCAGAACTGAACTAAACTAAAATCAATTTACACACCAAAAGCTTTTCCAATTGGATTGGTTAAGCAGATTAAGGTACAAATCCCAACTGGAGTTCCAATGTGATTTCATCTGATTTCTTCCCCTCCCAGTTGTCTGATTGGCAAGGTAGCAAAAGCATGTTTATGCAGAAAACAAAGCAATTAACATAGGAAACTACATGCATGCACAGCACTTGGTGTGGCAAAGTCATCAGCATGCTGCACTGTTGCATAAAATGCCAGCCAAGCACTGCGGTTTTGTTTAAATGGTTTTTATTGTACCTGATAAAGATGTAAACAAAATCAATTCAAACAGAGTATTTGAAAGAGAAGGCATATACACTCTTATCTGCACAATTGTTTCTCTACTTTTAAATCCTTGAATAACCTACATTTTCTCCTACTTTCACAAAATAACCTGCATTAAAAGGATCTCTAACATCTTTAGAAATGCATCAAATTAACCATTTGATGAATAGTACCACTTTTTTAATAAAAAGGTCTCATTGGATCAATCTGACAGCTTAATTAGCAATCTACACACGCCATTATAAAAATGGAATTCAAAGGTAT